ACACACACACACACACACACACACGACGACACACACACACACACACACACACACACACACATGACAACACACACACACACACATGACGACACACATCTGCTGCAGCATCGTTGTGCAGCAGCAAGTACCAGTTCTGGTGCAGCACAATTGTTGTGACAGTGGTGGTTCAGCCTCCTGCCTACTTTTCCCCTTCCTTCTTTCCCCCACTCCCCCCCACCCCCCCCCAACCACACACACTTTTACCTGTTTCTGAATAATGTTTTCTTTATGGCGTTTTCTCGCCTCCTCCAGTTTCCTCTGCTCCCAAACGCTGCGCACTGTTGGTTTGAGCATTCCTGGTTCCATCTTTGCACTTGTCCCACAGGATTCCGATTCCAACTCAAAATCCACATCTTCATCCTCATCTCTATCTTCATTGTCATCATCTTCATCATCATCGTCATCCTCATCCCTGTCATCGTCATCACCATCATCGTCTTCTTCATCGTCTGCCTGCCATGTGCCGAGGCCCCAGGAAATCTTGCCTTGTCTCCCTTTGGCTGCTTTCCAAAGCTCCTAAACCACCACCAATAACAACATCACATTACCTCAATGGCTGAGCGTCAGATGACCCCCTAACCCAACCCTACCCTGGGTAACCTTGAAAAAAAAACACATTACCATGATGATCATCATCAGCAGAAGTGGCAGCAGCAGCAACGGGGGGAGAGAGAGAGAGAGAGAGAGAGAGAGAGAGAGAGAGAGAGAGTTTGTGCGGCAACGGAGCGCCTCCCTTCTTCCCCGGAACACAGCACGCCCTCATCATGGCTGTATCACACCGCAGAGACAGCTTGTATACGTTCGTTATCAGGGTTAAGTATAGCAGAGATCTTGTGGTCTGAAAAACAGCCCTCATGAGGGTGCTCTGTGTTCAGGGGACAAAGGGAGGTGCCCTGAGCCAGCCCCTGTTCCGAACAGAAGTGGACTGCCCCAAAGGCTAATTCTTTAAGCCGAACCAATTCAATTACCTGTCAAATCTGGACAGGACAGCCAACCACCATTTTTGACTCAGGCTGTGACAAAAATGCCTTTTCATGTGTTCTTTTTCCCTATTCAAAACTCCGTGGTGACTGAAATGCACTTGACACCCCCTCCCCCCAGCCCCGACCTTCTCCCGCTCCCTTCCCCCGCTCCCTTCCCTCTAACGTGGGGAGGGGGGAGGCGGGGAGGGGGAAGGAAGGAAGGACAGGGGATGACTTCTGAAGGGATAACTTCTCCATGTATTTCCTGTGATGTTATTGTGAGAATGAATCTGGATGACCATGAATCGAGGTGCAAATCGTGCACCTGGCTTTCCACACGTCCAGGTACGTTCTGATCAAGGAATCATGGGAGCAATCAAGGCCAGGCAAAGAGGCCATAGAGCAATCATGCTAGGGAAAAAAAAAAACAGAAAGAAATAAAAAATGACCCAGAAAATCCGACAAGGAAGGCCATCCATAAGTTAATCATGCATTGCATCCTCCTCCTCATTCCTTCTCCTCCCCCCTCTGTGTGCCCCCCTCCCATAAAAAACAACAAATTAATAATAAATAATAGAAAATGCAAATAAATAAATAAATAAATAAACAAACAGAAAATCTGAAAAGGAATTATGAGGTTCAGTTATTGTCTTACTTTTGTCCGTTGCTGGTGCTGCTCCCTCTGCTCCTCCAAGGCCGACGCGACTGCTGGTCCTGTTCGCAGCGAGGAAGGGGATGCAGGTGCTCCAAGAGGCTGCTGAGTTGTAGACCCTGCTTCTTGTCCTGGAGGCTGTTGGAATGTGGGTTGACTTTTGCCTAAAGGGCTGGCCCCCTTTGACTCTTGAAGCTGTTTGCTTTTTCCTAAGGCTAGCTTAAAGGCTTGTTCATCTGCATCTCCATCTTGATGGGCCAAAATCAACTCCGGAGGGGAAGAATATTCAAACTGGGGACTGCGAGGATCATCCTTGCGTGACCAGAGGGGTGGATGGTATTGCTCCTTGTACTTCTTCTGCAGAACTTTCACTGTACGTTCGGTGGCTCTTCCAAGTCCTATCGTGTACAATTTCAGTGCTTTCGTTTTCTGCAGACATAAGGTGGCATGGGAAATCACACATGCAAACCCCCCCTTAGTAATGGTCATGGCTACGCCGGAGCCGGACCCGGACCCGGACATTTCCGGACATGGAACCAGACCCGTGTCCGGACATCTGGAATTCTGGACATTTCTGGACCTCCAGGCATGGGGGGATCTGGACGGTCCGGATGTCTGGACAGGTCCGGAAATGTCCGGTTAAAAAACATAAAAATAAAAAAATCTGAAAAAAAAGTATGTTATGCAGAATAACAATGCAAACCACTTTTGCCTCAGAGTCATGTCAGAATTCCTAACCAAACTTGAGTTAAAAGTCAAAAACTATAAAAAAAGCTTACAAGAAGACTTTAAAAACTAATAAAAGGTAATGAATTGTTAATAATTAAAAAATTGGGGTTGTCTAATAAATTATTATAGAGAGAGAGCATGTCCGGACCCCCCAAAAAAACATAAACGGGCCTGAAAAACCCCCAAAACAATTTTGGGGGCTTGGCTCCTCAATGGGGAAGGGTCCTGGACCGTTTTTTTTTTTTTTTTTTTTTTCCGGAGTTTGGCAGATCCGGAGTCCGGACTGAATCCAGACCGTCTGGACAGCGGTCCGGACGTCCGGATCGTAGCCATGGTAATGGTGCTTTTTTTTTTTTTTTTTTTTTTCCCCTGAAGGACGGTGCAAGGAAAATGAACAGAAGCGAGATGACAATATTTAGATTGCACAATCACATTGAAAGCCAGATCGTATCACAGTGTTCAGAAAGTAGCATTGCACCAATATGACACCAATGGAGAATAGTAGCACTGAAAGCCAATGTCAATGAGAGCTTGCTCTCGCCACCACCAACATATGTATCCAGTCCCTATCTCCCTACTTGGTGCTCGGCGCCCAGCCTACTCCCTACACAGCTACTACTAGCCTACTAATTGACAATGCAACTGTTGACGTCAGCAGCCTCCGAAGTACTTGAAGATGTCGCCCATGCAGAACCATCGCCAATACCAGGTATGTGCCCTCACATCATCATCATCATCATCATCATCCTTCTCTCTCTCCCTTGACTCTCTCCCACGTCTTCCCTGTGTACACCCGAAGACCACCCCTGCGCCTCACTCTACATCCAAGCCCGCCAGCTATGGAGGCTGGGCTATGGCGCTGCCCTCAGCAGTGCCCTCCTCCTTGCACTACCGCACGTGCTTGCACCTCGCCTCTCAGCACTAGCAGCAGCCCATGAGCTTCAGCTCCAGCAGCGCTGCCGGCAGCATGCGAGTGCCCGAATGAGTTGCCAGCCAGCGAGCTCTTTCCTATATGGAAAAGAGCTGGCCTGCCTTCGCAGCCTGGCTGCCCTGAGCCGGGGCCCAGAAGCTTCCGGTAGGCCCCAGGGTGCTGCGCCTCTGGTGCAGCTACTGGGCCTCATTCGGTTGGGCCTCCCAACTGTCTGTGTATGAGGCTGCGAATCTCACCCAGGGCCTGTGCTTTCGGAAAGGCCTAGAAGGCCTGGGAAATTTCCACGCTGCCCGGCCTGTGTTTTCCTCCAACCAACTGGCGCTACGAAACTGCCAGGACCCCAAATACGAAATTGACAGCCAAGGGCCTCTCGGGATTTGTTTGGCCCCCCTTCACTTAGGGCAGGCACATTTGCAGCAGGGGGCCCTTAGGCCTGCCGAGGACCGAGATCCTCGCAGACGATGGCCTTGAGAGATATCATCATCATCATTTGCGCCCTGTGGCCAAGTCCGGCTTACGCCGTTTAGTTGAGGTAGCTAGCTCAACCGTGTGACACTGTAAAGTTGATTAAAAAAATTGAGGAAAATCATTTGTTGTTTGAGTTTTTAATTCTCTTTCTTTTCCCCATCACGTTTTTCGTTTTCCTTTTTCCAGTATTAATTTCTAATTCCCCTTCGGCACACTAATGAATTATTTTTGAGGGGGTGGGGGGTGGGGCTTTAAGGAGGAGAGCTCTACTCTGCAGGGGCTTCACAAGGCGGGGGGTGAATGCCCTGGAGGGAGGGGGGGCAGATTTTGGGGGATACCCTATTTTGGGGCTGGGAGAGATGTATGGGGTGACATCATATCCCCGCGGAGGCAGTTTGGGGTAAGGGGTTGGCTGAGGCATACTTTGGGTGGGATGCCCTAGTGGAAGATGGGGGAGGAAGCAGGTATGTCCCAGCAGTCCTTTTCGGCGGAGACAGCGGAGGGACATGGGGAGATGGAGGAAAGGGGGGGGAAATAATCCACAGGAACGTCCAAGATTTAGGATACACCTCTTAAACATATACAAATTGTATCTGGTGGGGTGGTGGGCTGGTTCTTAGGGGGAGAGCTCCACTCTGCAAGGGCTTCACAAGGAGGGAGGTGATTGGGGGCAGATTTTGGGGGGATGCTCTATTCTGGGGCTGGGGGAGATGTATGGGTCGGCATCATACCACAGCGGAGGCAGACAAGGGCAAGGGGTTGCCTGAGGCATTCTTTGGGTGGGAACTGGATGCCTTGGTGGGAGTAGGGGGGAAATGGGTCTGTCCCAAGTTGGGGCCGATGAGGAGTGCCCATGATCAGGGGCGGTCCTTTTTGGCGGAGGCAGCGGTGGGGCAGGGGGATGAGGGGGACAGGGGGGTATCTCTATACGTTGTGATTTTTCTGAGTCCTCAAAACAAGCACACTTGTTATTCCTGGTAGTTTGAAGAATCTCTCGGGACTCTGAGGGTTTGCTAGCGGTTTGTACGAATCTACTCTGAAATCAGACTGTTATATTCAGGATCCGTAGCTGTTCAACGCCAGAACGACGCTGGCCGGAGCAGGGGTGATGCCCTGTAACTTGCCGAAGGCGAGGGCATGAGGCCTTGTAGAGAGATCTGGGGATGCTATGGGGGGCCATCCTAAAGGACAGTTGGGGGTTGCTGACACAGGACGACACTGGCCGGAGCTGGAGTGAGTCGCGTCGCTCTGTAACCTAGCAGAAAGGGGGCGTGAGGCCTAGATGAGTTTGTCTGAGAATAAGTCGGTTTTAGTGAGTATTGTTATGATCTGTTGGAAATCCCTTAGATGCTCGAGTGTTTGGAAAAACTGCGGTGGATTTCAGGAGGTGTTCAGTGATTTTAAAAGGAGGCCAGGATTGCCGATATAGCATAGTCTTCTATATGTTTTCTTACTAATCATCATCATCATCATCATCATCATCATCATCATCATCGTCATTATCATCATCATCATCATCATCATATCATCATCATCATCATCATACGAGGGACGCTGGCCCGGTTCTCAGCATGATCGGTTCGGTCACTCCGGGTAGACTGTGAGGACCCCGGTCTCAAGCTTCTTGTTGATAATATCAGCCTTGGGATGATGGTCTCAAGGGCATAGAACTATGTGAGAAGGCTAGCGCTAATTTGCGCCGCGGACTGGCCGGCACGGACCGGCCGCACTCCGTGGACTGGCGCAGGGATGGTGAGGTGTATGCCATCTCTACGCTTGGTCATCCTGTTGCCCGCCCGGTGCTTCGGCCTGGGTGTGGGTGGGATTTTCCACGTGGCAGTTGCAGGGGACGGCACGTCGGCGTGAGGTAATCAAGCTTGGAGCCTTGGAGTAACGATGTGGCGCGGTTGCCAGGGGAGCGACTTCAAAAATAGTGTAAGAATAACATCAACAAAATCGTAACAACCTTGCCTATGGCTGTATCAACGGCGCAGATGGCGATGGAGGCGGCAGCTATGCAAGATGCTATCGCTGCCACTATGCTTGCAGACGAGGGAGCTGCGCTGGAGATCGTGCGGATGCACAAGCAACAGATGGAGGAGCTCCATATTGCGCTTATCCAACATAGAGGCAATCTGCCAGCCGATCTTCTCGAGGAGGGTGAGGAGTTGGTTAGTGGCTGGGACGAGATGCTCCATGCAGATCTCTCGTCTCATCGGCTGGGTGAGACTGAGAAGGCGCAGGTGATGGCGGAGTTGGGTGCTTGTGCTGAAGTGCTCATGAAAGTGAGGAGAATTTTTGACGAACTCAGAGATGAGCTCTATGGGAGTTCGAGGCGTGATAAAGTGAAAGGGAGCTGCTGCGTAGGGCCTGAGGAGGGGCAGGTGCTGCGTACTATGTTGCTGGAGGATCCGGGCGAAGCGAAGGGTGTTCTTTGTCGTGGGAGGCCTGAGGAGGGGCAGGGCTCTCCCGGCGAACCCGAGGAGCGTGATAACGGTGCGAGTACGACCGGCAGTCACGCCAACACTAACGTCAGCACAGTCAGCAAAGACATCGCCGCCGACTTCATGAACAACACTGTCTGCAGCAACAACAAAAACAACAACAACAACAACACAGACAGAAGAAATGACATCGAGCATGACGACAATGTTTGCATGGATAAATACGACGATAAGAGAGACTGTCGCGGTATCGTTCTCACTGGAGCGGGTATCTACAAGGAAAATAATGATGATATCGTGCACTCTGGTGACGGGGTCAACCACATCAGTTGTGATGATGAAAACAGTGATATCAACACTAATAACAGCATGGTTGTTCCCCCCCGAGTATGCATCCTCATCAGCCAGGGCGCCAGAGATGGAGTCAAGTCCGCTGGGAGGGCGACGGCTTTGCGCAAGCTTAACATGATGTGGGCCTTCCAGTGCGAGTGTAATATCACAGAAGGCTCGCCATGGGATCCGGGTGGGGTCGGGGGGGAGGGTTGGAGGCATTGCTGCTGGGGATACCTCACGCCTCCTTGCATGCCATGTGAATCTGCGAATGAAGGTGCGCGAGTGGGGGTGGATAGGAAGGCCAAAGGATGGTCATCTATAATGGGGCCGCGGTGTTGGCTCGGCAGCGTATGAGGGTGGGATCATGCGTGTCGGACCTGTGCTGTCTGAAGCTCCTTGCAGTCGCTTATAACAATAGATAACAATGGATAGCAATACTTGATTGCCACGTGGCAAGTGTGATACAGATGTGCGATGAGTTTGCGTCGGGAAGAGGCATTAGGGTGCTTTGTGTGACTCGTTGGGTTTTGGCTCGTGGTGGTCTTGCTGGGATTTCTTCTCCCCCTTTTGTTCGTTACAGAAGCCACATGTATTCATGCCTGCTCTAACTACCCCTCCTTTGTGAAATTAGGGTAGGCATAGTTCTTGCGGTGCAAAGGGTGGGGGGATCAATTGGTTTTCTACTCTCCCTACAGCTGACTGCCTCTCCTCCTCATGGCACGATAAGGAATTGCATGGTAGATAATGAGGAGCTCAGCGTGTGGGTA